TGACGTTAGTGTTTGGAACTGGAGGTGATAGCAAAGAGTCCCAAATAAAATACATGGCACATGGCCTAGTTAAGGGAACGGGAAACCAAAATTCTTGCCATAGCAAGGGAAAAGAGAAACCAAGAGCATGCTGTGGTACACCTGTGCATTATAAACCATCAAAGGAATAATATAATTAACTATATAATATGGCAGTAATCAAATTGTTTTTGTTAATAGAATTGCATTGCCAGTATTTCTTCTAAACACTGCAACTATGTAACAATCATAAATCTCAGAAGGAGGTATTGGAAATTAGATAATACTTTTTCCTATGGCTAACTGATGGTTCTACCGTTATTCCCCTTCATTAGCAGTGATTATCTAAATAAGTTTAAGAACAGTTTGAAATGACAATGACAACTCAATGAAGTCTGCAATATACACGATCTTGGCTAAAAATAAAAAATGGAACAAATAAGCTAAAAACTTACATCCTTGTAGAAGACATCAGCATTGTTTTGGACATCATAGGCCAACACATTAGTAGGTGTTCCCACTACAAGTATGTCACCTGTCTTGCTCTGGGAAAGGTGTCCTGCAGTGACAGCTGATACTGTCTGGTTAATGTTAAGCAATGAAACTTCAGAGCTGCTCTGACTTATAGACATCCGACCCCCTGAGATGCCAAGCCGTTGATATGGATTATGTATAAACACCTGTAAAAAAATGTAAACTTGAATTACATACTACACTACTTCATTTTCTAAATGTTTAAATGTTTAATGTTTGAAACAAATAAATGTGCTAGGCATCAAAGGTCATATAGCACTATGATAAAGTATTGTGCTGAAAAGGATAAAGAGGAGTTAAAGATTTGGATACAATGTGTTAGATGTCAAAGATTAGAGAACATTATAGGATAGTATGGTAATGAAACAGGAAAAGAGGGGAGCAACTCAGGCAGAGCAGAGATTAGTAGAGAGGGTAGGGTTAAGGGGGTAGGGTGAATGAATTGCACTGTATCTGTCACTGGAGAAGGAATACGAATCATGTTCAAGGAAACTAGAGATGGCTGTTGGAAAAGTAGAAGACAATCCAGGGAGGGGCAAGGTATTAGATGTTAAACATTACAGAGCAATATTGGATAGTATAGTAGTGAAAAGGGAAAAAAAGAAGTAAATGAAGTAGGGTAGAGAGGAGTAATATATGAAGTGTTCAGGGGGAGGAGAAATCAAATGAATTGCAGTGTATCTGTAACTGTGTAAGGAATAGGGATATTGTTCAAGGAAAACAGAGGTGGCTGTTGGAGAAGTAGGAAGAGAAGAATGAGATGAGAGAAAAGGGGGACTGGGGAAGGTGGTGAAGTATCATTAAGAATGTCTGGAGAAGGAGACTGTTGTGACAGAAGGGATTTGTGTGAGTATTGAGGTGGGGCAGTAGAGAGGATGGGGTATGTTGGGAGGGTTTAGGAGGAAGGGGGGTGGGGGAACTTGAGGAGGAGGAGGAAGGATATAGGCAAATACATAAAATGTAGGAGTAGAAACAGAGGGATTGGAGGGTGAATGAGGGAGCAGAGTGTTCACTTGGGTCATCTTTAGGATGTTTTGGATGTCTTCAAGAGTTTTTGGAGGGGAGTTGGGTACAGAAGACTGAGAAACAAAGGTTCTCTTATGAGGAGGAGAAGAGGGGATAGATATCTGAGGAGCAGAAGAAGAGGAAGGTGTAGGAGAGGACATGGTAGGAGAGGGTGGAGTGGAACATCTAAGTTACCACATAAAGTGAGGAGGAATAGGTATCGGGGAAGTGGTAGAGATTGGAGTATCTAGATTCAGAATGGAAAAGGAATTTGACTGGGAGATAGGGCGAGTAGAGATAGGGTGGTTCAGGTTATAGGGAAGAGATACTGTGGAAGATGCAGAAACATCTTGTGAAAATGGGAGCAGAGCAAAGGACTGTTTTGAAATAAGTTGAGAGGAAAACCTCGTTGTCATGCTTCCTGTCTGGCCTCATTTAGAGTAAGCCCTAGTTTGCATTTGAAGACTGCTTCATCACATTCAAGCTTATAGGCAGGGCAACTCCTATAAAATATATTATGGGAGTCTGCACAGTTAGCACATGTATGTGACTAAGCAGAGCAATCTGAATGGTCATAACCAGGTTGAGCACATAGAGAGCAGCAGGCTGTGGAGCGACGTTTGGGTGGGTGGCCAAAACGCTAACATTTCTGACATTGACGAGGAAGGGGTTGATATGGTTAGACATGGTAGGACAACCCACTAATATAAGGTTCCTGTGGGAGGTCATGTCGATGGAAGCTAATCTTGGCAATATTGACATGAGACTTATGCTGGCCTCTGAGAGGACTAGTATAGCACTGTAGTGCCACAGCATCATAATCCACAAGGCAGGTAAGTAGGTAATTTTCTCAGTCTGACCAGTTCTTGCTGTAGATAGGACAAGCATTCGGGGGGATAAAAACAATTCCAGTACAAGTATTAAGAGAAAGGTGAGGTTTGGCAGGAATGAGTTTGCCAGTAAGATCAGTCAGGGTAGATAGTGCACAAACTTGGGATTCAGATGTAACTGTGACAAGGTATGAATGGTCGGAATGACTGTGACAGGTAACTTTGCCTACTTGTTTTTGGAGGCACTGTTGAAAGAGAAGGGTATTCTCAGAGTAGGGGGCTGTGGGGGGAATCACAAAGAATCGATCCCTCTTGGCTGGGCCAAAGAGAGTACTCAAAAGGTTTGCAGAGACAGAGGCAGTAGAAGGATGAGGGCAAGAGGAAGATGGGGTGGTGTGGAGTGGAGTAGTTCTGCGGGGGGAGGACAATAAGGATTAAGAGTAGTATTAAGGAAAGAGGGGGTAGACATTGAAGAAGACTGTGCAGTAGGAAATGGAGAGGAGAATGTTGGGAGAGAGGAAAGGGTGTATTCTGGAGGTTGAGTAATATCCTGGGTGGGTACTTCAGAATGGATAGAGTTGTCAGTAAATGTCAAGGAGGGGGTATTAGTATCAGTGGTCAGAAAATCTGGAGGCCATTCGTGACTGACACACAGCCAACCTTTTATCCTTTCAGCACAGCTCTCACACCTTAGGAATGGGACAGAAGAAAGGGACGAAGAAAATATGGAAGAGGAAAGGAAAAAGAATAAAACAAGCAAAATTAGTTAAGGCGAGGGCTGAGGCCCAAGGTCGGGTTAACCCCTACCTTGGGCCTCAGTCTTCATCTCCTAAGCCCCCCCACAGCAACAACGAGCATGGTATTAGGAGGGTTC